AACTTTTTGAAGAGGTGGCAACCTTCTTAAAGAATATTTTCTTAAAAAAACCGTTGTTGTGATACTTTACTTAATAAGTAATTTATCAATATTAAAATTTTAACAGGTGGCAACCTCCTTGAAAACATACTTTCGAAATAAGTTGTTTTGAAACCCCTTTTCCTGTGGCACTCACATTGTTTTAATATTTTATATAACTTAATAATTGGTTGACTTTAATTTAAAAACAAAGGTGGGGCAACTCTTTTTAAAAGTATCCTGCATCCCGTGGCAACTCCCTTAAAATATTTTTGAAATAGAGCTTTTTCAAACCTCTCTTATTTAATACCTATAACAAAATATTTCTTTTACCTAGTTACTTGCACCGATTTGAACTATTTGAACAGGTGGCAACCTATAAAAAATATTTTCGTAGAAAATTGTTCTTGAACCTGTTCCAATAACCTACCTACCGATTTTTTTTTCAGTTTAAGTCTCTTTGCATGACCTACAATCCTAAGTATCTTTTTGTTGAAAATGATTGGAAGGCTCACAATTTTTTTCTATTAGAGATTTTTTATTAAAAATATTTTACTAGATCAAACATACAAAATCTAAAATTCTTTCGCAATTATCATCATCCCATTGGAAACTTTTAGCAAATAATTTTATACAATGTTGACTATTTTTATAATTATCTGGTTGACCTTTTGACCAGTGTGCATATTCGATAAGCGGTCCATCAATGCCCCAACGCCATGTCTTCATATCAATTAACTGATTGCCGGCTGTCCAAAAGGGTTGGTTACGTAAATCTGCATTGAAAATATTAAAAATTATTTTAATTAAAAATTAATAAATTTATATGAAAAATATTAAAACAATTTTTGGTTATAGTAGTTTTACATACTATGTTGGTCAAGAAATTCCTCGAGTTCTCTCTGCATTTCGGCCGAGTTCAAAACGACTAGTCTTGAGTTATTTCGTTGACAATACACATTTGCGCCAAACCAATTCGCCTAAAATATATTTAAAATCTTATTTGAGTCAACTGAAATGAGTAGACTATTCTCGCCACTTGCCTTCGCCGCAGATAGATAAAATGTCGCAGATGGCTTTGAGGGCTTTGTGGTTGTGGTAGTTGACTGTGTTGGCACTAAAGTCGGCCGTGTCGTAGTCGGGAGTGTCGTATTCGGCTTTGGCGATACGGTGGTCGGTTTAATTGGCACTGTCGATGGTTTTGTCGCCGCTGTTGTCTCTGCAAATGAAGGAAATATGATTCGTTATAAGAAGCGCGTCTCTCTTCGCTGGTATTTCTTGTTCAGTGGTGGTCCTTGTTTAGATTTCCCGGTCCGGTTTGTAAACTCTTACTTACTTTTATTGAAGGACGGCCCAGTTAAGCCAACAGCCAATTGGGTACGAAAAATCCCCAAAATTAATATCAACAGTATCAAATAATTTGAAAATCGTTGCATTTCTCCAGTTTGCTTATAACTCACAACTAAGTAATTAGATTTCCAAAACTTACCATTTTATATGGAGAATTTTTGCGACTTCTTTACTAATTTTGTTAAGATTATTGCTATCTAATTTTGTTTAACAACTGCTACAGTATTTAATAACTTTTTTAATCAGAGAAATGCTAACGCTCTTGTTTTTATTTTTAGATATACTATGTATGGTATAGGTATAGTCATAGATACGAGTGCAGACATACACACATAAACATTTAGAGGTAAAGTGGAGCAAAATTGACTTTCTTCTACACCACAACCGTTCCTCCTATTTACCCGCCTCCTTCTACAAAGTTCCACCAATTATTCATCATAAGGGCAAAATGGTCCTTTCACACTTGGTGCTTCCTCTGTGCCCTTGCTTTGGTTGCACAATGCACAAATTGGGTCGAACTTCATACCTTTGCCTTTTATTCCATCCCACCACCACCACCATCCAATTAGATAAATCTTAGTTTTTTATGCTTTTAACTGAATTCTTGTCTGCAAAGAGTTCGTATAAGTCTTCATACATTCCTCCTTTTCTGTACTCATCGTCCACGCCAAAAGGATCATAAGTCTTCCTTAGAATAGTTCTCTCAGAATCTGCTCATCATTATTCCACATTGTTCAAGTTTCTGCGCCATATAAAAGGTTGGCCAGGATTAAGGATTTTAGACTGGAATATTATTCCAACAAAGCCTAAAGTAGCACCTGTTCGCATAGTTATTCTTAGGCATACAAAGTCCTTCTTTGAGGCGCTCAATTGGGAAAGTTAATTTACAACGTCAACCGTTGATGCAATACTAACCCCAACAAAGCAATTAAGTGTTTCCTTAATAGGCCAAACAGGGTGGTAGCTAAATTTCTTCAGAGCCAAAAAAAAATGCTAGACTGTCGAGCTCTGTTTACGAACGACAAATCGATTGTGTCACAAAGCCTGGGAGCGATATATGGCCTCCCAAACTAACACCACCCACTGTGTACATCTTGCTTGGTGGATAAGGGTAATACGAAGAATTTTCTCTGCAGCTGTCCGACATTAGCCAGACTCAGGTGGTGCATTTTAAGGACATATGTATTGAGACTGAACGAGTTATAAATCTGGGTCGTTACAGTTGCGTGGACCTGACTGTTGAGGGAGCGACATTGGAACGAAAGCGACGGTTTTAAAATCGACAAAAAGGTGGGATTTTATTTCTTTCAGGATTTTACACTTTATTTGTCAGCTCGAAGGCCACACCAGTAACACCCTATCAATTGGACTTCTATCGTCGACCCAATATGATTTATAGGAACTTAGAGATGTTGTGGATTGGACTTCCAATCTTCGGGCGTGCATTCACCAGACCAATATCAGAGGACAGTTTTAAAAAGGGTTAAAAAAAATCAAATTTAATTTACGTGAATACTTGCAATCCAAATTGCCAAATTGCTAAATAAGATTTCTTAGCATTTTTCTGTAGTGTCGCAAAGAAGTGCTTGAATTTTGTATAAAAAGGTGCTATAAGGGATTTTTTGGTATTTCTGCACCTACATATTTTTCTTAAAACATCCAGCAGAAGCCGCAACAGTGAGAATTTTCACATTTTCTACCAAACTTATTTTCGCAATT